CTGAACCTCAACCGAGAATCATTGCCGACATCTCCTGCTGAACACAGGTCTAGACGGCCTGGACTTCAGCTAGCATGTGGGAAAAATATCCCCACGGCTTATCAAAGCTCCCAAGTAGGATTTCTAGGGCAGCCATGCATTCTTAGAGGCACTGTAAAAACTCTGTGAAACGATTTTAGAAGATGGAGACTTGCCACCTTACGCTGCAGTCCAGTCGCTTGGATACCGTATACACTCTCACGTTCCTTCGACGTATGTTCCAAACAAAGCCGTCTATCTACCATCATTTTGTGAACCCAGGAGAGGACTGCTCCCATCTCAACACTGCGTGTCGAATTTCACATACCGCGTCAGCACAAAGCGCCAAGCTAAACCAACAGGCTAAAGAAGCCTAAGCTGACTGACGCTCGCCTAAACCATCCCAAACCCTTCCGAGCCTGGCGCAGGGCCCCCGGAGGGGCGGATGCGAGCATTGCGCTCTGTAGCGCCACCTCACAATCAGGTACAACCAAAACCACCAAGCCGGGCGTGCTCAAACGCCTCATTAGCCCTCATTCCTTGCTCGTCACCATGCAGTGTTTTTAGGCTCACACGCTCATGACGCAGCGGGACCGATTGAATTCGCTGGCCGCATCAATGACCGCACTTTGTTGTATTTGTGGTCGTTGTGCATAGACGAAAGCAAAGGGCGTGTTCTCCGCCTAAGACTTCCTGCAAGTAATGACGACATGATTTTTGCTGTTTCTGAGAAATTTGGAATGAACTGGGAACTGGGAGCCACACTCGACGAGCTGGGAACGTGTCTAGGACAGCCATCTGGCCTGAGAGAGACAAACTCATGGACACTCTTCTCACGAAGCATGGCTCTGTGATGTTCTTTGATTAATTCAGCAGTCTCTCTTTCCTCACTCTTCTCCTTCTCCTTCTCTGCATCTAGCACCGGGAAGGCGAAGGGGGCTCTGGGTCGCCACTCCACCACCCTTTCCTGTCCATGCTCCCCTCGGTGCGTATGCGGCCCCCAGCCCCTGCGGCCACTGCGACAGTGGAGCAGGCTGCCAGCTTCTGGTTTGCTGTTCTCCCAATGTCAATTGCGCTTGGATCTTGTTCGCTCGCGATCTCGCTATCTCCGAAGGGAGTGCTCCGCCGTGTTCATTGCTGTGAACTAGACGCCCAGACACGGTGTGGAGACAGTTTAGTGTAGTTTAGTTCCTGCAACACTGGAGTACTGTGTGTGACTATGTGGAGTCAGGCAAGAAGATGTGTTGTCGTCAGCCTCTCCCCCTCTCTCTGTCCCTCTGCCTTGCTCCCCCCGAAGTCAAGACTCGCGCCCGAGCGCTGAACTCACACTAACCAGGGTGTACCTGGTGCCGGGGGCTGCGTCTGCGGGAGGCTAACAACGAGGCCAACTGCACAAATGCCTTCTCGTAATGGGACTTATGTGCGCTTGTACATCTGACATCATTGCCGCGATCTGCAGAAAATGCAACATCTGAGCTGTGCCATGCGGCCCAGCGACAGCACGTTTAAGAGACTAGGGCTGGTCGATCCACCGTGGTACAGAGATATCTCATCATGTACGTCCTAAGTTTCGATGGAACTTGCTGATTTCTGGCATTATTCAGAGACTGCCGGCAAGCCAAAGTCTACATTTACGTTGCGAAGGTGTGCTCTGATACCCTCTGCCATCTTCACCGGGAGCACTTCGGGGGCTGGTAATGGGTCTGCTCCGCAAGGAAAGTTCCAGCCTGGCCAAAGAGCTGCGTCGTTTCGAAAAACTCTCGCAATCTGCTATACTGCTACTCTGAACCACTTCCCACAATCCTTTCAACATCGTCGATGGTGCCAGCTGGGTGCGGGTGCCGCCGCTGACCCCACCGCCCATGTCCTTCTCTGAAATTCTCTGAAGGCAGTTGTGCATTTGACGTGCAATTTGGTGTAAGAACTCGCCTCCCGTGTGGACAAGAAGCACGGCACTGCAGAACTTGCTAGCAGTGTCAAGGTGTGTCAAGGCAGCCTCACGTCGTCCTCTGGATATAGGCTGGGGCCAATTGCAGATCACGCATTGGCTGTCTACTTTTCATGAACTGCAACTTGCGTGTCAAGGTTCCATAGCGAGCTTGGATGGGAACCGAGAAGAGGGAGTGCCAAGGGCCTAGATAAATTCCAAATCTGTGTGTGGGCAATCAACGATTCATAAATGCTGACAGGCTGACTCTACGTCACTATCTGTGTTGCTGCTTCAACATGTGATGGTCACTACATTTTCTAAAGCTTGTGCGATCGAGCCACAGCACAAACCAACGGTAAACCTGCCGCTCGTTGATTTTCGTTGCGTAGTCAGAACATTGCGAGATTGAATTCGCTAGATGATCTGGCATGTCTTTCATCGGGAACTGAACCATTTCACGAACTTTCGTGGACGCTGCGCGCCTCTGAATTCTGTGGCCATCCGAAATCGGCGGTGTAGTCTGGCGGGAAGGCGGCAATGCCATGGGTTGAGACGAGCTGCGTACTTAACAAGTGGCAGGTGCAATAGCGGAGACAGAGGACACCATGCCTAGGCCATCAAGATTTGCAGTGGCAGTCACCTGGAGTCCAACTGCTGAAGGAAGTCAGACTGCCAAAAGAACACGTAGAAAGGCATCATATGGCATCATGCTGACACAGCGTATGATCGCTTGCTTGAAACAGTGAAGGCCACGTGACACAAAGCCAACCAACCGCTCCTTCAGGCGCTTCTGGCCGCAGTGCTTGCAGTACAGGACGTCGATTGGACATGGCCGGCTGCAGGTGGTGCACGCAACCTGAAAAGCTGAAGCACGTAGCCTCAACGGTCACGTTGAGCACTAGACATGTCACCATGCCTCCAACTCATTGGATATCCTCCGCGCCATCCTTATCATCTATCTAGTTGAATATGCTGTATTCTTACATGCCGGGAGGCCCGGCCAAGCCTGAACTATGCTATTGAAGAACTACTGCACATATGACATTGAAGCAAGTAAAGGTGCACTTTCGTGGCCAGGGTGGGTGGAAACACGCCAGTGCGCAACCTAAACCCCAAACATCACAAGTCCCGAATGCTGAAGCCCCCAAGCTCAAAAAACGCAAAGCGCACCTAACGAGTCTTTACGGCTGCCCTGACCCCCAAGTCCTCTTGACAGTGCTTGGGCCCCAGCCATGTCAGGCCTAGCAGAGGAAAATTCGGTGTTTCAGGAATTGCAAGGGTTTTAGGGGCTCTTTAGCGCATTTTTGAAGGGTTTGTTGTGTAGGGGTTCATTGCTTTGGAGGTTGTTTAGCGGCTTACGAGGCAATGGAACCCCTTCTATTCTGCTCGGCCAGCCAACTTTCCAGCTTCTGAGACGTGATGCGGGTCTCCAGTTGGATGTTTTCAGCAATTCAAGTACACAGTTACATGGGCACCTCGCATAGCATTAGCATGACCCTTTAAAGTGCAGAAATCTGAATCCTCAACATCATCTGTAAACCTTCAGGTTTGGAATGCAGATCGTCTAGCGATGTGTCACACCGAAATCCAAAACTCTGCGGCCCCACGTATCCGACGCATCCACACAAGACACAACAATCAATTCCAAGGGCCTAGAGATGTAATTCTCGCCAAAAACCGCAAGGGTGAGAAGTCTATCGACTTTCAACGGGTTGTAGAGACACGGGCCTCCTGCGCGGCGGACGGCTCCAGAGCCTCTTCAAGCGCGGTCATAATGCTTTGCTCCCATGCTTCACGAATAAAACGTGTCCGTCGCCATTGTCCTTGCTTCAATTGAACAGACTTGTCATTGCATTGCTTGGCCTGCATGATGTGCTGCTTCAATTCTTGAAAGTGTATGTGCTGTCTGTGCGGCAATGGCTTGGGCTCCAGCCCGCGCGGCTCCGGTGAGGGCCGTCGGGGTGGCGGGGGGTCATCATCAAAGTACCTCTCGGCAGTCTGGGGGGGCTGAAGCGCGATGAGGAGGAACCGAGTGGGCAGCTCTCACAGAAGTTGGAATGGCCCAGGATGGCCCAAAAATGCCCCGAACCAACCTCAAAACCTCAAATTAGCTCGGCAGGCCTGGCCCCTTTGAGTTTTGCCAAGAGGGCCGCTCCTGCGCCGCTCATGGTAGGGGCCTGCAACATGTGCAACATGTGTGATCTTCGATCAGCTTTCGGACATGTTCAGGTGGTCAGCGCTCTTCGTAGGATTTTGTAGGAGCCTCCAGCTTTCGCTGTGGCGTGACCGGTGCCGACACGGGCCGCTTCCTCCTGAGAGCTCCAGGCTTATGAGCTGCGAAAGGTGACCAACGCAACTCAATAAAACTACTCAGCTCTTAAGGACCTCGGTGTGTCATTCCCCGAGCCGACAGAGTCGCGACCGGTTACTGCCTGGCACAGCAGTGAGCCAGGCAGGTGAGCGGAGAGAAGCAGACTAAGCAGGGAAAACAGGTGAAAGAACAACAAACCCAGCCAGCCCTCTGGGTACAGCCATAAAGCCAGCCTATAATCACCACTACATCTCTCCAGGGCCAGCGCCCAACTTGAATTGGCCATTGAAATTCATGCCAACAAAACACGAAAGCCTGTCTCGGCCTCGAACTGCGCCTGTCGCTGCTCAAGAAGCTCGGCATCCCGTTGCCGGAGCCAGGCAATCTGAGGGCACTGCACCAACATCATCAAGCATCGAGTCTACTTCGTAGCCCTGCCAGGAACTACTAGGTTGTCGGAAAGCTTGTTGATACTGAGGCTGCTTGAAGCGAGAAGGCCTCCCTGAATCCTGGCACTACTTCTGAGACCCTTAGCCGCAGCCCTGACCTAGCCCGGCCTGACGGTCATAGACAGTCCTTGGAAGCACACCACTTGCCTGCAGCCGAAGTTTTGCGCGCATCGTACCGGGGTTTCTCAGCCTTCGGTGTGTTCCATGTGCTTTTTGGTCGGCCGAGACTCAGGGTCAACTGTACACAACTCCTTTCGGCAAGCATCGGCCCAACAGCTCGAGCGTTGCCTGCTCAGCGCTTGGTGTAAAAGCTGAAGCCAAAGCTAGCATTGGCCGGCTTGTCGGGAGGGTAGCGTCCATAGCTGAAGCCTGGTTCTCCAAAGTAAAGGAGGGCTTCTCGCTCCCAACCCTTCTCTGTCAGGAGGGCGTGTGTTGTGTCAGGGTCGGCTGATGGGCTTCCCTTCATAAAGTTCAGCATGAGGTATGACCCCGGTGAGCTTAAGTCGGAGATTTCCCGGAGCATTGCGTCTACCTCCTCCTTTTTCAGGTACATGATGAGGCCCTCCAGGATCCAGCAGCACACAGTCTCGACAAAGTTCACGCCGTGACTGGGCAGGTCCTTCACCGACTCTTTTGCAAAATCCATGGGAACTACTTGGCGCTTGCACACTGGTGAGAGCGCACCTTTCTTGGCCTCAACTTTCTCGAGGATCCTAGCCTTCCATTCGCAAATGGGCGTCGTGTCCACTTCAACGAAGCTGTCGGCACTGGCCAGGGTCTCCAGCCAAAACGGGCGTGTATCCAGGCCGGCGCCCAAGTTCAAGATTTGCTTCCTGAGCTTTGAACCCTCTGAAGCCCCTGAGGCCTCACCTTTCTGCTTTTCAAGCCATCTCGAAAGATGATCGTTAATCAGGCACGTGCGCGCTGCTGTGTACTGAACGTGGCCTTCGAAGCCAAACCCGATGTTATCCGTCGGGTCGAAGATCGCTTTCAGACCGACGGCCATGCAATCACTTACTCGCTTGCCTACGTTCGCATTGTCGTCTTCGTCGCACATGGCCTTGGCCAGCCAGTCGTCAAACAACCGCTCGGTTGCTGGTCGTTCCGACTCAAGCTGCCGTTCATACGCAATCATCAATGCAGTCTTCTCAGCAAAAACCATGCCAGTTTTCTCGTCTGGCTTCATGAGCGCAGCCGACTCATCCATGCCCCATTTTCGCATTGCTGCCTCGTCTCCTCCGAACTGATCGAAGGCTCGCGGGCGGAGAACCACACCACCCGGAGACGACATGTTGCCAAGTGCAGCACTGCGTGATTGAGCGTAGCAGTGACCCTTGAGCCATGAAGTGTGACATCATCGTCGACACGAAAGATCGGCAACCAAAGCAGGCTGCCTGCTGCAAAAACTGCGATCTCAACAGGGCCTCGCCTTTGCGCAGTTCTCGCTTCGCGGCGTGTGTTCGCACTTCCGAGCCTGGCAAGATGGCTGGAACGTGAACTGCCCTGAGATGGACGATGATGGCCAAACGTGCCAGTGCCACTTCGGCCTCCTCTTGCAGCGTGCGGAAGATGTGCTCCTGGACGCAAATTGAATGCAGCAGTCGGCACGATGGAAATGCAAAGGAAAATCAGTACTGGACTTACTTCGCGCTTGCCTTGCGGATCTCATCTTGCTCCTCTTGCTTGGCCTGGATTTACACTCGCATGTCATGTAAGGGCGCATCAGTTAAAGTTGTGGACATGTCGGTTTTTCAACGAACAAACCTTCTGTACTGCCAGAACCAACCACACGGCGAGGCGCCTCGAACCATGCCTGCTGTTTCTCGTAGAACTCTTTTGCCCGCTCGGGAGTCACGTGGCCTGAGCAATTCTCTATCTGCCCAGAAAACTAGACTGCGGTTCGTGGTTCGATGTCGTTCAGCTTGGACTTCCTGGAGTCGTCCAGGGCCAAGAGACAGTGAGTTACCCTTGGGTTTGCAAGCCTTGCTTGTTCCACGCATTCTATTGCCGCAAGACCTGTTGGAAAGTTGCAGGCCCGAGCTGCAGGGTCCCTCTATGGCAAGCAACACGGCTATTCGCAACTGGAGGGGCCTTCGGGGTCCGGCCGCTCATCAGAGGCAAGCGAAGCTACCACTGCTCGAAGAGGCTTCCTGCTTGCAGAGCGAGGGTCGGAATTCAGTGTCGCCATGCAGCTTAAAGGGGGGGGAAACCAAGTTAAGCTAATGTTCAGGCCAGGCCTTTCTCCATCAGCTTTCACTAGTCCAACACAAACTCGACGCCCAGCCAACAACTCCCAAACCAACGCCATGAATTTCAGACGTGAGCTTCTTCGACCCAAACAAACCGCCGGACTCAAAACCTCGGCGACGGGGATGCCGGGGCGGAGCTTGGCCTGCGGATTCGAGTTTCAGATGCTTTTGGAGGGCTTCGGTTTCATTTCCGTTTCCCCCTAACAGGAATTTACAAGTAGTTTAGCAACAGTTTAACAGCCAGCCAGCCAGCTTAACAGCAACATGAGCCGTTGAGTGCTTTGGTACAGGGATCAACCCTTCGGCAGGCTGCCGTACAGGAACGATCCAGCCTTTTCGCCCTCAAGAGGTATAATTTACATGTGCGCTGCGCCCAGCGTGTGCAACAGTATCCAACCGTGTTTCAACAACCCAAGAAACCAGACTCCGCGCGAATAAGTATTCTGGGGTCTCTCGAAAGCGAAGCTGCGAACACAATGCATTGAAGCTGGGGCCTCGAATCCGGCGACCATGCGCTGAGCTTCGGCGTGAAGGGGCACTGAAGCAGCTCGGACTCGAGCTGGGCCTGCGAAGCGGGTGCTTCGATTCTTTGAGACTCGGCTTTCGGCTTTCTGCCTCCTCGTGCCGCCGCTTCTCCAGCGCGCGCCTCTCCCACAGGGCCACAGGGCAGTTTGTTTCTCCTGCTGGGGTCTGGTTCTGGGGGTGGTGTGGAGACATTGTATCTTGGGACTGTATAGGCTGCACAGGACTGTGGTGAGCTGGGACCTGGCAAGACATGGAGCTCTCAAGCGCTTTATGGAGCATTACTGGCTGCCCGGTGCCTGGCAATCGACCGCATCCCGCGCTCAAAGAGACCTATGGGCCAACATTCAGTCAGGCTTCGGTGGCTTTTGTACTTTGGGGTTAACAAGGCGCTCCTTACGTCTGCTTGCGAGCTCGAAGTGAGAATACTTCTCGAGGTTCGAGGGTCCCTATCAAGCAGGATCCTATCAGGATCCTCATCTCCAGCCCTTTGGCAGGCCTCCTCCGCCCTCGGGCCCCGCCAGCCACCGAGGGGAGCGCACAGGGTGGTACAGGCGCGGGGAAAAGGAACCTTTCCATGCAGAAGGACACAAACAAGGCTTGCTGCGAACCTTGAGAGGGGGTAAATGCCCTATAGGTCCCTAAGTCAATGAAGTCCTGTTCTGGTCGCATTTGTGAGCCAGGAATTTTGGGGAGACAAAACCAAGAGTGTCTGCATTTCTTTGCCATTCCAGGCCTATTTCCGCTTGGCACTTGTCTCTGAGCGCTTGTAGCTTCTCTTCGCCTTGAAGCGCAAACTGGCTGTGACTGATGGACCTATGTGGTGTTGTCAACACGATGTACCGACGGGTGCGGCAGGTGGGGTGCGGAGCCGTTCAGGAACTGCCAAAATACTGTTCCTCATTCAAAACTCTTACGAATCCTGTGGTTCTCTCCGGTTCAGGCAAGAGTCGGTATTTCATCCACGCTTCAGATCGTTCCAGCATCGATGGCGGCTTCCCGTGCAAGCCTCTTAAAAGCCCAGGCTGATCAGAGAAGCGTCTGCAGTTCAAAGACGGATGATGCAGTAGTATTGTCAGTTGCCATAGTGAATTGGATAAAGCCGTCAATGACACCAGAACTGCCACGGAAACCCAGCAGTTTCGCCCATTCTGCCTAGGACGGTCACCGCCCTTGGAGAGTTGCGACGGGAGAGCGGAGGCGAGCGTACCGGCGAACGCACCGGCGAACGCACCGGTGAGCGCACCGGTGAGCGTGTGGGCGACCGAGTTCGGGCTGTCCTTGGAGAGAGGGCAAGAGTACGACAACAGAAGGTCAGGTGGACAAACGCCGATCGTTTGCTTGTTATTTTGCTTTATCAGAAGATGACATCTCGACAGGCGCAGAGCTGCTTCCAGACATGAGGTGCAAGAGGTGCAAGCACGGATACGGCATGATGTGCACAGCACGATCATTTTTTACACCTTGCTTCACCCAAATCAAGTCCTAACATTCAACATCAGGCCAGGCATGCTGCTGACTCGAGTTCAAACCCCGAGCTCTCGTTGATTCCAAGCATCTCACTTGGCATTGCGGCTGCTTTGCTGTCAACCATCTCACTATAGCCAAAGCCGCAGGTGGTGCAGATGCTCGAGCTTCCTGCAGCACATCCAAAGCCACAGAGTGTCACATGGTGTAGTAAGGGCCCCCCACCCCCCTCCCCCTCCCCCACCCCCCCGCCCCTTCTGGCTCCTCGCTGCCCACAGCGACTGCACACGCGGCGGCGGCCGCAGCGTCGGCAGAAGAGCTCGGCTTGCAAAGCAGATGCTGCGATACATTTTAGCTCCATGGCGCCCTTCTGGAGTGGTAGCGTTTGGAGCTTTCATTAAGTTCTTGAGCTTTCAGGGTGTTCTCCAAGAGGTACCAAGACTCTTTCCCGACACACCTGTCGTTTGCAGCTTTGCCGGCAGTCGATTCTGTTTGGGGCGCCCCAGGCAGCGAGAGAGCTGAAACAAAAAAACCTGGTTCTAAAAAAGGCCGCCTCGCAACTATGTACCGTGGCAGATGGTAGGCAGCTGCAGGTGCGCAGGAGTAGTAAAAACCTTGTGTCGGGCGCTCAGCTACTTGCAGCTCTGCCACCGAGTCTTCGGTGAAGATGGTTCCGCAGCCACGGCAGGTGTCTGCAGGTCCGCCTGCATGTTCAATCTACGAGAAGCTCGAGAAGCTATGGGCCATACTCCAACAAGACGCGACATCCGAGCACTCTGCGGTCCGCTCGCTGTTCACATTTGGCCGATGTTTGTCTGTGACTGTGAATGCTGCAAGAAATAGGCGCTTAATACGCTTGCGTGCAGATGACGTGTGTATGAGCACGTGAGTCACGTGAGCATGTGAGTGCGTGCTGCCAGGCTCATTTTACTCATCCCTGCCTTCTGCCTTGGTGTCCAGGCTGGAGAGCTGCGCAGCCTCCCGTGAAAACAGTACTCCGATTGCAGGTGGCATGGGACTGCTTAGGCTCACATAGTTCGCCCTTTGGAGAGATATGAACTTGGAGTTGCCTTTCGCATGATATGTCAAGACATCATCCAAAGGTGTCTGCGCCCGAGTGCACTCTGCTCTGTGTAGGACCAGTGTAGGAACTCCTTGTCGGAACAAAGGCCATTGTGTTCCAGTGCGCGGCGCGCGGGACACTGGCTGAACAATGCGCGCGGCCAATGCAACTTACGCATTTTGCTTCAGCTGTCCTGACCAAGATCCAAGCTTCGAGTGTGACGGCAAGCGCGGAAGCCAGAAACACTTCGCGCTTCTCAGTATGAACTAGAAACACATATGCAGGCCGACGCGATGCCCCTATTCCAGTTGCAGTGAAGCAGCGCGAGAAGCTCTGCAACCTACAAGTGGGAAGCAGGCTAGTCTGGCCTCCAGTGTCCTGGCTGGCGTCCCGGAAGGAGTGAACGGAGCCTGGCTGAAAGTCTGAAAGCATGCATGACAACACAAGTCGGTTTCTTGATCTCTCACTTGACTACACTGCACCAGTCAAGCAGCTTGTCAATGAAATCGAATTTTGAATCTCTGGCTTGCTAGTCTGCAAGCATGAAGCATCTCGAACCCGAGACCATCCGAAATCCTTTCCGGAAGGCCAGCCTAAACTCCGCGATTATATATGCAGGAAAACCGAATTAGACTCGCAATTTATGACGTAAATGCCGATTTCAAGAGTCAAGTCTAAGGATGGCAACTAAGCGATGCTTGGGATTGCAGCGTGTGGGTGTTTACATCACCTGCATGCCCGACCTTGACAACCGGAGAAAATTACCCAGTGTTGAGCCTACAATAAGCAACTGAACCTGACTGTAGTGACCCTACAGAACCTCCCCAACTGCTAGAGTAAAGCCTGTGCACTGTGGCAGCCCTACCTTGCATCTACGACAGTCAAGCCCGAGCTGCAGCTTTGCTCCGTCGCCGCCCGCTGGGCGGGCGCCGCAGTGGAGATGGCGCGCGGGGTTCCGGTGGTGGCCTGAAGACGGTATTGACATGACTTCTCGCAACAATATTCAGAAATCATGGAAATGACAACAGAAAATCCGCAAGAGGCCCCGCCCCCAAGTCTCATCAGGACCCGTCCGGCAAACCTTTGTTCAGACCCAGCATCAGAACAAATCTTGGGGGCAGTCATTAAAGTGACCCTAACATTGTTGAACCCTGAAGCCTTAAACTTTCAAAGAATTTCGCCCAGGTGCGGCTTAGCCGGCTTTGCCGGCACAGCGGGCGACACCAGGGAAGGGTCCAAAGGCCTGCGGAGCCAACTCCCCCACAGCGTGCCATGTTTGGGCCATGTTTGGGGCTTCAGGGTTTCGGTGGGTTTGGGCAGGGCCGCTTTCCAGTAGCTCTGAGTAATCCTGATTTTTGGTTTTGCCAGTGTAGGGGGGGGTCGCACCCCCTGCACTCAGCATTGCCCTTGTGCACTTCACACAAGATATGCAAACGGCGCCTGGGTGTGCGGCTGTGCCGCCTTGGTGCCTTCCGTGGTGTTGACACCTTGCGGCTCCAAACCGACTGTTCAGGTCTGTTCACAGGTGGGCGCAGCTAGTTTGCAAGTGCCCTAGGGCCCGGCACCTCTGCGTGGACCTGCTTGAGCTCGGTATTTCGGAGGCCGAGCTCCACCGTGAAGACTGGCACATCCCCTGAGGTCACATCAGAAAGTGTGGGCATCGTTGAGATCCTGTCTCCCTAGCAAGCTCCGCAGCATCCTGGCTCTTGCGGACAGAACAGTGGCAGCGGCAGTAACATTGGTCTTCAGGTGAAAGATTCGGCCACGTGCCAGGGCGGTCTAATTCGCACGTTGCACTGCGTGCAATTCAGCCATGGCACGTCCATCACTTCGGGGCATCGCTCCTTCTCATGGCTACGCTGTGAGCCACGTCACATGCAGGCTTGTGGCTATGGACGCGAGCAGAGGTGTGCCAGATAACATGGCTGGACATGTTCGAAGCAGCATCTCAGAACTGATGGCACGCTTCAGACTGATGCGCCAGCCGTCAACTTTTTACTACCTGCTTGGGCGGACAGCTGATGGCACGTGTCTTGGGCCAGCTTCTTTCCTTCACGTGGAGATGGGTTTGATTGGGTCTGCCCTGCAATGTGCACCAGGCATGCGACTTGTGCCACCATCGCAAGCTACTTGGTCCGCCGCTTACGTACCCACGCATAGCAGATTCTTTCCCCCGCTAGTGATGGGGTGGTCTGCTGTGGGGGTGAAACTGGTGTGGATGAGTGCAATTGAACACAACGAGGCAGATACTCTAGTCACATGTCTTACTTGTGTTCCCACCCTTCGCAACCCAGCATTGCAGCATGATGTAACTCGAATTCGACCCGGCAAGGCAAGTGTTCAGTTCGAGGCATCATGCTGCTTTGGCCTCCGCTTTCATGTCGCCACCTGGGGTGGGATTCTCGGCTTCAGGATACTTCAGGATCGAAAGCGCATCGCAGGGGCATGGGGCATGCTACAAAGGATGCATCCGTTGAATTCCCACACAGAAATCTCCAAGCCCCTCACCTTTTGGCGCCTTCGCGGCTCCCTCTTTGAGCGCTTGTGTCAGCTTCCGCTTCTTTGAGGCGCCTTGGGTCAGTGGACAGTTCAAGTCCTGAGATGAGATGAGGTGAATGAAGTGAATGAAGTGAATGAAGTGAATGAAGTGAATGAAGTGTGGGAGAGCTGAGCTTCCAACCGTGGTGGATGGTGTGAATTTGATTGAAGTCCTGCTTGCCTGACCGTGCTGCAAAGATCCAGAAGAGCGAATGCGGTAGATAGTGGTTGGCGTGATGAGAAAGTCGGTCCGCATACACATACAGGCATGCACCCGTGCCTAAGTGGTACCTGCCTATCCTCTTGCCCATGTCGGTCGTCTTCACATTCTTGACCTCCCGCGAGACCGCTAAAAGAGGTAAATCTCCAACTCTTGAACTCTGCCCTTTGAACTGCTACTGAGAACACAACCACCGCCAACCCCCATAACACAACAAAAGACAAAAGGGCACTGCTAAGAAATGGGCCCACGGAAGAAAGGGAGCTGTCCACGACATCCAAGCCCTCCCCAAACCCGAACATCATCAGAACACCCACTCATTCCCTACTATTCCGTTTACATCGAAGTCTCCCTGGCCTTCTTCGGCTTCGCAGCCTTTGGGACTTTGATGGCCTGCTTCCACCGATCCTTGTCGGGCTCCCTGAGGACGCGCATGACGAATCCGACTTTGGTGACGAGCAGAAGTGACTGTCGGTAACCGTCTTCTGTCTTATGGCGGGAGCTCTCATGCACTTTAGGGTCCTGCAGTACACGCCTTGACTGATTGAACTGGTTTGCACTTCTTGCGATTCGGATTCCCATGGATCTGCGAATCTGGGCTGCTGCCTCGTTCTGTCAATGGTGAGCTGGAAGGAGGGGCCGAGCTCCTTCATCTCAATGCGAGGAAGCCTACCAGGAACACATCTGTTGGGACAACAGGCTGGGTTCCTAAGCCCCCAATCCGGTCACACTCGGGGCAGACAAACCTCATCGAGCCTGCTGCCAGATTTTTGCATGAGGAGCCGGTATCTCCTGAACAAGACCTGCTTCGACTTGACACGAATGCCGATAGCTGACCCAAAACTGTCGGTGCAAATCGCGGAAGCTGTGTCGAAATTATGGCACAAGCTGACAGAATCTTTCGGCCTTGGCCTTGCTGTCAGACTGACCTGGCATGGACACCAACGAAAGAGCATCAAGGTGTGGTTCAGCAAAGAACAGTGTATCACGGCAGCTCCTTTTTGCATCGGTGCGTTTGCAGGTCACGGCAGGGTCTGGCCATCACTACACAAGACATGATTTCGTGTCACGCTTGCAGAGGAAGTGTCTTGCTCACATTTTATTTACGAGCCCCCGCCAAGATGCCAATCGTCATTGAAACTACCATCAAGCACCATGAACGTGCTCACCAATACACAAGTGTCGCAGCACTTCCGCAACTGGCGGAAACAGCAGCCGTGTGTTGACTTGCTGCAAGAACTCTTGAACCACTAGTGGCACTGCCTCGGAAAGCAGTGTAGTTCGTTTTAATCGACGAAGGAATTCGCCTGACTTCTGTGATCATCTCAGTTTATTGTCACCGGTACAAGCGCCCTCGCTTCTGTTGAGCCTGCCTCTCCTCGCCACGTGAGCTTCTGCCCTCAGCTGAGTCCCGTTTGCGTCGGCGTCGTTGCCTCAATGCAGAACAGCATAGTGTTTCTTCAGACTTGAGTGGAGCTGTCGCGGGACTAGGTGGAAAGTGCGAGATATCGCTGGTATTCGCCTCGGCTTCCAGCCGAGAGGTGTCTAGAACAAGCAGACCAGCATCCACCCCCTTTCTCAACCCCTCCCCCGACACTTATACTTGATTTTCGTGACGCCTCCCCTCCCGCCCCTCCCTTCCCTCCCGCGTGTCGCAGGCTCCTACAGAGGCAGCCCAAAATGCAAGAAACTGAACACCCGCCCTGGGGTGTTTTTTGGAGCCCCCCCCCCGGGAGCTCTTCTGGGACCCCTTTTGAAACCTCCCTCAAAACCATCCCCTAAAACCTTTTGGCCTGCCAGACCTGCGAAAGGTTTTTCGAACTTCTTGGGCCTTGGGCTTGCCTGGCCGCCGAGGCGGCGCGCGCAAGCGTTTACAATTATTCATCAGTTCAATGCTGAAACGCTCAAGATCTCTCCAGCGTAAGGCGCTGTGCACATAAGCCCGTAAACTGGGTGCGCACATGCCGAGTCCCAATATGAGTTGTCACCACGCCAAACTCCCAAGCTCTCAAAAACCCGCAACCCTCAACCGTCATGTTGAATGCAGATAAGTGTGGTCCATTGTGAACTCATCAGCATCCAACCTTCAACCCAAACCCTCAAACCCCCGTGGACTCGCCTGGGGCTGGTCGCTAGGGAGCGCTGCGTAGTCGGCGCCGCCACGACGGCTTGTGCTGGATGCGCTGGGCTTCTCTCCCTAAGAGGCACTTTGGGGTTTCGGGGATGTGGATGGATTAGGGCCAGAGTCTACAGTACCTAAGTTTGACCATGGAGTGGAAAGTCGCATGGTCTGAGATGCATGCAGGAGACCCCACGTGAAACCTCCCCAAACCCTACTCTGCCTTTCAGAGACTCCCTGAAGCTAGGGCTGTTCTCCGCCTCAAGGTCCCTTGTAGTCCCTTTGACACCCTGAAGGAAAGGGGGCGCCAGCAGGGGCCTAAGTTTGGAAGAGCTCCCCCCCCCACCGAAAAGCTGTGGAGAGCGAGTGGCCGAGCGTTGCTCGCTGTCTAAGCCGTCCTGGAGTTCCTGAGGAGGAGGATCTCACGACTTGGGGGTTGAGACGGGTTCTGAGGCTTCAGGGCTTCTCAGGTTGCAGGGGATGCTTTGGGGCCTTGGGGGTGGGATGGTTGCTAGGGTTGCAGGATTTTTTCGCAAAGAGAGGGGCTGCTGCGACTCGTAGACTTGTAGTTTCTAAGTTCGGCGGAACCAGGTGGGGAAACTGCCTAGTATACGTATCTATCTATCTATATACATGCATATGCACATCTCATATAAAACAATCATGCGCAGTAACCGATTAGACTAAGAACTATAGACTATATCATAGCTTGTCAGATCGTAACATCCTATGACATGTTATAGGTCTGAAAACGTGATAAAACGTGTAACGCCGTAGGATAACTGTTTCTAGAGTGTTATAACATATTACAACATCGTGTGACAAGATGTGGTCACTTCTCTACCACAGGGCCCCTTAATATCTAGGGTACCCAAAATAGGACCATTATTTAGAGAACTGACTATGTGTGTTCCCGCATCGGTCCATTCGAAAAGGTTTCAGCAGAACATGAACAACAGGCAAAAGGCCACGATCAAGTGCTTGAAAATGCTGATGTCGTCCAGATTATCGCCCCATGCATTGTTGTAGAACTCCGCCACAATGCCTGGCAGCAAGCTGAGTCGAGACGTATCAAGAGCACATGTCCTTGAACGGGAATGTACTGAGATTCGATAGAGGGCCAAGGCAGCAACGGCATCCACAATCAGAAGGTTCTGCACAAAACATGCCGCTGAATTTCCGGTAGCTCTATGGAGTCGGGGATGCTGGGTGAAGATGGGTTTGAGGCTTGTTGCTGGAGAGTGAGCATTGGCTGCTGGCAAGCCGCGCTTCTGACAAGAGAGGCTCCGCTCCACGACCTGTTCGGTGCAAAGGAACCCATGCGCTTGAAACAACTTGAAGCAATCGTTGCAGGGTTGCATGTGTTGGTGGCAATTAGTAGAGTCTGCAGTGGCAGCAATGGTGGGGCAAAGAACCCCATCCTGCCTGAAGCATCGAGATGTCCGAATCTTCGTCGGCCAAGTCGTTTGCCTGCAGATGAAGCATTGCACAGAGGGAGAGGAGGGTCGCCTTTTTAACCTGGCCGCGTTTCACCCCAGGTTAAGCCTCTTCACGTTTCAGAAGTAGGGCAGTTTATACGAAGACCACGCATTGACCTGCTCCCGAGGGGTACACTCTGCGACCTCTGCGACTACCCCTTTCTTGGCTTCCGGGCATTTAAAGTGTCAATCTGATGCTTGAAGTCGCTGAGCTCATGCAGCTCTTCACCTCGAGGCAGATTTGATGGTGGTTCGCAGGAAACAAAGCACAGGCGTAATTCTCTCATTGAAGGCACCGGGTGAATGCTTCAGCTTAGAACTGCGGCCACGCTGCTCACCTGTAGGACAGCATCCAGTCTATCAATGTTCCAGAGAACTACGACCAGTGAGGCAGCATAACAAATCATCCTCGGCTTGTTTGCACCATACGCACTTCCCACGTCCAGGATTCAGAGTCTTCGACAATACCAAAAGCAGCCAAGCAATGACAAAGCCTCATGATGCCTGTACCCTGGAGGCTGCAAACCAAACGTAACCAAACCAGAAGGGTTGAACATCTTTCGTTGCTAGCCACCAGTCAAGCCGAGACTCCCCAGCATTACCATGAGTACTCTGGCAAACCTCGGGGCAAAAGGTCATGCCGCAGTCGCCTCTGTCCTCAAGTTTCTGCCTGAGCAAGATGATTGCATCCAGCGGCTCCATCCCACAAGACACCATGTTCATGGCCGCACAGTGGTGACCAGTTCCTTGCAGTGCCAAAAGATTGAGCGGCTCTTCGACTGTCACAAACGTGTCTCTGGGATGGTCTGCTCCAATGCCCTCTCTGGCTGGCGCTGGCCGCGGCCACTGCAACATTATCATGCTAAGTTGCTCCGGGCTTTTGCTGGTTCAGACTTGTGCAGCCAAGCTGCGCATGAGATTAAGCACTATGCCTGGCATCTGCTTTCCAGCGACCCGCGCTACACAGTTCAGGTCAGTTCAGCAAGCAGCATGGTGACAGACGCTTGTCCGGTCTCGGCTGCAGCTTTCGGGAGTGATGACAAAACCCACTGGCAGCATGCTACTCCTGCGCACACGCTGATAAACATCCTCGAACCAACCTGCCAAGTGAAAGTGGAAGATGAAGAGGAGAACCTTGGATCGTGATCTTCACGGTCGGTTTGCTCTCGGCTCCTCCTGCTCTTAATCACAGTGCTGGCAGTCGCCGAGAATAGGAATTCCCCCCTACATGTCTTGCAGCTCCACGAGCGCTCTTATTGTGCCGCGTAACGCTGAAGACGATACCAATGAGGAGGCTCCTGTACAATGGCGAGTCCCTCCTCAGAGCACGGCACAGATGTTTGCAATCCGAAAAAGATCCCGACAACTCCAAGGCATGCTGTCGCGTTTTAATCAATTGTGTTCTTAGCAACTGGATTGACAAACCGTGCGAGAAAATGATGAAGCTGCTGGCCAAGGAGCAGATGCACGTACACCTCAGTTGTTTGTGGCTGATGATTCAGCATGACGACTATAGCCACAGCATCACAGCAGCTTTCAGACATGCCTAGACTGTGTACGGCATGGCCCTATACTTTTTTGCCTGACTGACTTGCCGAAGCACACACACACACACACCTCTGACACCTCTTAACACACCTTGAAACCCCAAACAATAAGAAAGGCTCCAGCTCTGCAAAGGTTGGCTCTGACAAATTCAGCTCGGGCACTCCCTTGACGCGGCCTATGGGCGAGGCCGGGTTCACTCCACCAGGCGGCACGCCACGCAGCAACTGCCAATGAGCATGGGGGGCAACTTTTGGCAGTTGCCTGCACTTGCTTACGGTGAAACCCGGTCCTCTGCACGTGGGTCCCGTCTGCTCTGAAGAGGCTCCTAAGCACTCAGGGTGCTCAGAGAGTGGCTTGGGCAGCAGAACCGTCCAAGTTCCGGCATGTCTGGGATAAACATGAGCACGATCTCAAAAACGAAACGTCTGCGGCAGCCAGGCATCGATCTTCTCGAACCACTTGAGCACCAACTGGACCGGCTTGAGCACGACTGCCTTCATTTAAGTATCATTAATGGTATCATGAGTTCAAGACGAAAGGTCCAAGGCTTCGCTGCTTCGTTGAAGACTGCAAGAAATCTTGAAATCTTCGTTCTTGTCATTCGTGTTGGCTCAGAAGTCATCAGCCGTGAGCAGTGAGACGCTGTGCCTCCGGGTGGTTTTTCAACTCGTCTGTCGTCGGCTCACGCAGTTCAGTGAGGAGGTCGTCGTACGAAGGCACCGAAAAGTTTCGGTCCAGGCCTCAACAAGCGAGGCCTCTCTTGATCAGAGCTGCTTGAGCTTCAACACCAGCTTGGGAGTAGCGGGACAAGCTCCCGGCTCGTGGTTCGAGTGACTTCGGAGTTAGACTTCCGGCTCTTCCGCTCGTAGCAGCAAGTGCAGCAGCGGTGGGCGCCCTGCAGGAACAGTGCAAGCACTCAAGCAGTCTCACTCCGCGTGGTGTGCTCTGGCTTGGCTGGCGGAGATGGTAAGGCATCGGGTTCTCAACTTGCTCTTGCCTGAGACCTGCAGCCGATTGCATTCTTCTGCCATGCTCTGCCCGACCTGAACGAGATGCACGCCGTGTAGCAGCAAAGCCATTTCAGGGTCATCGTGATCGTGAGCGGTTTCGGTACGAGGCAGGTCCATCCTGCCCAGGGACAGGAGGTACATGGCTCGACGTAGCAAGGTGTGACACTGGGGACAGCTTACAACAGATTGGGCTCCTGGCAGCACGGCGACTATGTACTGTCAGAAGTTGGACCATGCCTTTCTCGGGCTCATGGGTAGCGTGTGGACTTCTCGCTTACAAAAGAATCCATAAGCGCTTCGGGAAGAGGGGTCTGGGTTTCTGAGCATGGAGGGTTGGAAATTCCCTTTAGTGCATCTTTCTTGGAAAGGCATGGTTTTTTGCCACGGAGCTGGTGTGCTTCTGCTGTCTCAAGGTATCCTCCAGGAAGAGCGCCTCAGGGCGGCGTGGGCTGTGAATCCTACAAGACCATACGAGTACAGTATTATGATAATTATGCTAAAACCGTATCATAAAACACTGATGTATTATGATCCTCCTGTACTTCCGGCCTTCCCGGAGAGCGAGATCAGTTTCTGAAAGTGGTCGATTGCAGGTTTCCGCAGATGGTGCAAATGAATGGCCTTGGGCATGGGCAGTGCTGATCAAGCGGTTGGAGTCTGCGGAATGCTCTGATCTTGGCAACGGAAAGGTGCCCATCCCCCCGCCCCCCCACGCCCCCTCCCACCCCCTCTCTCATGCAAGCTGCCATGAGTTCCACCAGTTTGGTGTACACGGCTGGAGCCTCCAGGAAACATGCCGGCTGTCTTGTGCTGTGCATGTTGCCAGATGTCTGTGTTCGTTCCGTAGCAAGACATCACAAGAGTGCCAGTTCAGTGAGACCGCCTCTGGGCTGGAGGACTTCTCACACTGTGCGAGTATCCGCTGCATTCGCCGTACGTGCTCGCCCACCTTCGCAGGCTCACCAAGGCAGCGCGAAGCTAACAGCCCACGCGTCTTTCAGAACTACAGAACTACAGAATGAGCATCCTGAGACGAGATCGCCTTCTCGTCGAGTTGGGCCGAGAGCATGCCACACAGCTTCTGTGCCTGTGCAGGCAATCCAGCAAAGTCTATCCGATACGTCTTGAGTCTTGACTTGATGCAGGGGACTGAAACGCATTAGGGCCAGCAAGTATCTCATGCGCAACTGCCGAGACCGTTCCTGCGACGTCGCTCGCGTCAGAACATCTCCGACTTGCTTTGTCATCTCGTCAAGGTAGCGCTCCTGCAACTAACCGCGCTTGCGTGTGTTGCAGGTAACTGCTTGGCCCACGGAGCAGGGGCATTCAATCCCCGAACAGCACGCCCTTCAAATGTCACACATCCGAAGCCAGCAGCCCAATAACTGCAAAGCCAACATCTAAACTGAATGCCCGAAAACGAGAATCCAAAGGTGACGATTCCCAGAAAAACGCTCCCAAAGCCCGAGAGTGTGGCGCCGGCCTTCTTGCGCTGCAGCCGGTCGCCATCCTCATCGTAGTAGGCCAAAGCCACTGCCGAATGCCGAAACATCATCAGCCTCGAGGGTCTTTTTGTGGGGATTGTGGAACTTCTTGGGAACACGGTTGACATGTATCAACGTATGGTAGCAGGCTTGCGCCCCCTTTGTCAAGCCGAGTGACAGCATGATGCCACCAACGCCCTTGACCTGGGGTGGGAAGGTGTCGGGTCGCTGGCAGCATGTCTGAACTTTCAGCTATGCCTTGGTCCGAGCCGCGAGGCACGAATACTTGCCCACCCCCTCTTCCGTCCAGGGTGTGTGCCTCGACGATGAAGGCTGGAGAACGGAGGAAAGGAATGAAGATGACCCAACAAAACTGGAACCCTAAACCCTAAACCCTAAACCCTAAACCCTAAACCCTAAACCTTAGTCACTCAGCCAGGTCACTGAATGCAGCGCAGCTGCAGGAAGTCCAGGAGCCACGTGATGCCGAACCTGAGCGGTTAGTGAGTTGTGATCTCAGGATGTGCACAGGAAACCCATCCTGGGGTGCAGGAGCCAACGGGTCAACGTGGGCCAAAGCGCGTATCCCTCAAATGCCTCCTTCCATGACATCCTACACGCTGCTGGGCAGAGGACTCTTGAGCTCTTGAACGTCGTCATGTGTAAGATGGGGGTAGTTTTGTTTACCCAGCCGACGTTTGTTTGGACTCTCCGCAGAGCCTGCCTACAAGACCTTCTCAGCTTAGGACTTGCACCTGCACGAGCGGACCGCATGTCTTCACCTATAGATTTGCGGTCGAGGCACACGCCTGATATCAGGCAGCCCATGAAAAGCATGAGCCGGAGGCCAGTGATGTCCAAAAGGTGATCCTGCTATCTTGTGCTTAAGGATGTGCCTGTTTGTGTAGCTCTTGCAGGTCTCCCGAGCTCTCAGCCGTGAAGCGCATTGAAGCAGCAAGGTGGCCCGCGGTCCAGGTGTAGCACTTGAAGCCATCGATATCCAGTGGGCCATACGTGTTCCAGAGGCAGGCGCATGGCGGGTCTTTAAAAAACGGATTTAGATTGCGTAGTCTGCTTTACGATTCGTAGGTAGACGTCCCCAGCCCCTGGGCTGACTCGGAGCCTGGACTGCGCTTCGGAGTGCTGAGATGTGCTAAGTGTTTGCAAAGGCGGAGACGGCAGAGATGGGTGCCCTTCTATTACTGTACTCGGGTGATGACTCGCATCTCTTTCATGTGGTAGGACATAGGACAGTGCAAACATTGCGAGTGGTTCTTTAGGTGCCTTGATCGTCGCGTGCATCTCGGAGCCACTTGGTGCTGCAGGCAGATTCTGATGCACGCGCCGTTAGGATGCCATCGGAGCTGAAGAGCGATGGAGACTGAAACCCCCCAATCATTGTGGTGCCCACCGCTCGGCTGGTCTAGGACAGTGAAGACCTTGGTGGAGACGGTGTCGTTACATGTTGTGACTCTGACAATAGGGGAATCCCGGGAAGCGGCGATCGCACATTCAAGGCCGGGAAGTAGCACCTGATGGGAGAGGTATGCCAAGTCTGCCCTATGATCGACCTTGGAATCTTGTGTAGCCTTGTTCCACCTGTTCCTGCTACACAAGGCAAAGCAAAGTGAAAGGACCTTGTCGGGCCGGCCCCCGCCGAAGTAGTCCAGCAGCAAGCTTTTGGCCTAAGGAGCTGCGAGAGGGCTAATGCACGTGTCGATCCGACCGGCAACCCCTGATGCTCGGACCCTTTTCAGGTTCTCATCATTCTCAAAGCCGGCGCCCTGGAATACCACGAGCCTGAACTCAAGCGAAGTGTTTGTGCAGTTTTTGAGATGCACGGTTCCACCCCCCACACGTCGAGGCGGTGGCGGCTTCACGCCAGTCATAGCCTGTCTAAGAAACATCTGAAGCATCTCGAGACAATGGTTGCCCCAAGCAAGCAGCAAGCATCAAAGCAATGGAGTGTGCAGCAGGGGGTGAAGCTACGAATGCCTACGCTGAAGAAACCGAGTCACGTCTGTGGCTCCGCCCCGAAAATTCCTTGGGCGAGTCCAAGCGTTGGAGATGGGGCAGTCGCACGAATTGCACTTCTTTAGGGCTTGCTTTTTGTGTTCAAGGTAGGTGCTGCAAAGACGAGCCCTCTGTAGTCACACTCGGGCAGGTGTTGCTAGCTGTCGCATGTCACTGTGCGGACAGCTGGTCAGCAAGGTGCTGGCTCATCACTGAGACACAGTGGCAAATCAGAGATGAGATGGATCAGATAGATGGGCGAACATCCAAGCCCGAGACGACATGGACTTGTACTCTTCCACACCGAATTCCTGTCGGATTCGGAGTGCACACATGCGCTATCCAGGCAAAAGCGGGATGGGCGTGGAAGGAACAGCATTCGGCCGAGGCTTTGAGCTTGAAGCGATGCGTTGCTTGATCGTTATGATAATCTCTCAAACTGCTTCGCTCCACCAGGTGATCTTTACGGGGTCCTGCATGTCGAGTAGGCTGCCGTCGAACAACCTCCCGAGGATGAGCCGCGCAGGCCTCCAAGGACAGAAGCCCGCAAGCCCGCAAGAGGGACTTAGGGCCCTATATATTTATATATACCCTTTAAGGGAGGGATTACATACGTATATATATATATATATACATATATATATATATATGTATATACCCTTTATGGGATTTTATCTAAACTGCAGGGCGTGGCATGTTCCGGGCGAATTGACTGCAGGTTTGGCTGTGACCCTCCTCGGAGTCACTTTCGCTCCATGCCATCTTATCAGGACTACGTAGGCGGTCAACATCGAACAAATGAGACTGCCAGCAGGTGCTTACCAATGGTGCAGTAGCAGTGGAGAAGTCGTAGCTGGAGCTCGACTTCACCAAGCAACTGCCCTTAAACAGCAGCCGGCGCTGAGGCTACGGGGGCTTCCACCTTTTCTTGGAGGATGATCCGAAGGCAAAGAGGGAGTGGTCAAACTTCTTGCAGAGCTGCTCCAGCTTCTGGCTGTCCTGTCAAAGCGAGCTACAAAAACAGAGGGCAGGGCCATACAGTAGCAAATGCGTTCACATGACGCCAAGTCCCAGAACCTGACTTATCGGGTAGCTGGTTGTGCATCCTGGTCCTTCTTTCAAAAAAAGTGAAGAAAAGTGGGAGCTCGATGCCATAGAGAACGGGCCAGCAAAAGTCTTTCCTCCTAGCCGGATGCCTGTGCTACCCATCCTTTGCTGAAACAAAGCCAAGCCTTCGGAGGAGGACTAGAAGAGAAGACCAACACAGAGCAGCAGGCTGCAGAGGACCGCGGTATTGTGACTAGCAGCTGACTAGCATATCCACCTGTTTGCTGACATCGGCAGCACAAAAACCGAAAGCACCGGAAAAAAGGAGATTTCCAAAAGAGACCTGGGCGCGGACAACAACTACGAGTCACAGCAACCGTCAGCTGCTAAAGCTAGCGTAGCCACATGTATCCACCTGATCTTCAGTTTGTAGTAGAGCTCAATAGCAAACCCGAGGTTCAGATAGTATAGGTTCAGGTTTCTCTGCACATGTCCCTAAGCAGATGCTCCTCGAAAGGATGCTCCTCATGCTTCCGCATGTAGAGCCTGGCAAAGGGACGTGCTCGCTCAGAGTTCAATGCGAATGCATCTGTGGAATTTCAGCTCATTTGCAAAATCAGATGGTGCCACATGCCATTTCGATCCATTCTAACTTGGAACTGCAAAACCAAGCAAGGCAGCCGGGCATAGAAAGTGGTGATCGTAGAAGGTACAACTCTCGGAGGAAGTTGGACATGTCGTTAGAAGTCCTGCTGCATCATCTGCTGGCAGCGCAAGCTTCACTGCACAGATGCTAGGTGCAAGAGATATTTCGGCATCAAACATCAGAAGTCGTCCAACTACGCAGCGCAAACTTTGGATGTGGCTGCTGAGCAGCTTCAATGCAGCGTGGCTTGGGCAGTCTTTGTGCCGCGCATCACCAAGGCTGTCTTGGCATCTTCCAAGACCTGCGCTGAGCAAAAACGTTGGCATGAGGATTGAACAAGTCTGAAGGTTGAACTGATGATGTCCCTCAGCCATGGCTTCCTAGCGCACGGACCTTGGAAGCATTAACAAAGAGCCTGGCCTTCGGCTCGCGCTCCCTCAAGACTTTCTTGCCACGATCTGCGCAAGAGCGGGCCCCACCGAAAACATGCCCAAATCGTCTCAGAATGCTTGTCAATGTTGCAGTTTGTCCTAGATGCATGCTCGTGCTTTGAAGGCGCGGGCAAGCGAGCTGAGCAGCTGAGGTGCTGGCGCGTCTTTGGCTTCCGCTTTGACAGCACCTGGGTCAGCCTCAGCCGCTCTGGAGTCGTGTGAAACCGTAAAGCTGCTGGCTGCAGGCTGGAGAAAAAGGGCGTTTCAAGAAGTTTCAAGCACAGCACACATCTTCCGAAATCTTTCGTGGGCCTTCGTCAGCCTCCTGGCTTTAAGGGCTGTTCGAGCTTGGTTTGTTTTCTTTGCCCTGGGGGCCCTGAAGACCAGCTGCTGCCTGGAGGCGCTGCATCGACCCCCATGTTGTCTCTTTTCCAATGGCAGTGGAGACGAGAGGGTTGATCTCAAGAATCGAGCGTGTTCTGTCTCTTTCCTACTGATGTCACGGCAAACTGTATGTATCATTTGCATGTTCCGCATTCGTTGTAGGCATGTGCGACGCTGAATGTTGCGATAGGCGCCGCTAAAGTATCAACAAAAAGATCTCAGGTTATCAGCCTCCATTTTGACTCTTTGAGCCTAAACAAGCTGCAGAGCGATGCTTGAGGCGGCCCCTCAACTCTCCGAACCTCATCATCTCAGACCGTAGGGCCCAGCTAGCGTGGTCTCTTTTTGGCAAGAGGGCCCAGCACTCAGGAGGCTGACCTGGCTCAGCTGGCACAAAGCTTTCGATGACTCACTTGCATCATCTTGCAGCACATGTGCAAGTTTTCTGTGCTGGAAGGCTAGTGGCGGCTACCGGCCTACCGCGCTAGATTCGCTTCATCCTTGACTGCCCTTCCTTATGCGCTCTGCAACTCCAAAACCTCGCGAAACCCTGAGCCCGCCCCTCGATTGCGTGCTCGCGCGGAGGTGTGTGTGTGGGCTGGGTGCTTCATCACGGCAGCCAATCCAATCGGCCCCGAAACCCTGCAAAACACCCGCAAAACACCCTCTGCACCGAACGCCTCCGACGCCTTCGTCCTCTGGACCGGCTGCGCCTTCGGGACCGGGACCTGTGCCCCAAGCTGGACGCTTATTAAGGGCTTCAAGGTCCAAAAGTTCAATATGTTTTCGGTTAAGGGTAGGAGTTTGGGGAGTCTCTAAATGCAACTGATTGACTTGCCCAACTCGTGCAGAGTCCAGTTTATCGACATGCAGGACTCGCCGCTGCTTCCTCATCGTCCTTAGGCTGCGCAGCTGCAGCACAGGGCAGCAAGTGGGGGCGGCAAGTGTCGTTGTGGATGACATCTCGCAAGCCAAGGATGCAGGTCCTACAGGTGTATCCTCACGCGCGTAGACCTACCCGGACTTCTTTGGGGGGACACGGTCCACCAACCACAGGATGCGCCGGTTCTCCTCAGAGCAATGCTGTGTCCAGAATGGTCTTTTGCGGCCATCCCTTGTAAGGCACCCAGTGTGCTCCATAGCGACCGCCGAAGCCAGGTCAGTGCCAGAGCCGGATGCAGGCCACAGCTCACACTGACGAGACATGCTGTAAGAGCAGGAGATGAAAGATGAGGAGTGGTCATCACGCGACGCCGAGCTGATGGAGTAGCTTGAAAGGCGCTGTAGAGCTCACCACTCGTCGCAACAGCCTTTTCCCAAACATGCAATTCAGGGACACGCACCTGAGTAAACTCTTCATACTCTTCACACTCTATACACGTGCCCCAAGGCATCCAAGTGCTGCCGCTGCAGCACATCTGCGCCACCCATTGGAGCCCACAGCTCTCTCATGGGAACGGAACCCATTTTGTCTCCCCGTTCGGTTGTCGGATCGCGTTCAGAAGTTTGAAGCGCGGGGTGCGGCGCCGCACCGCCCTCCGCTCCCAGGCCCAGGCGGGCAGCTGCCCGTAGGCCGGCGGCTCGAAAGGGCTATCCGTCGGGTGGCACGGCCCATAGGCGTGGATGTGCTCATACGACTTGCCCGGACCCAGCTGAGCCGGCTGGGGCTCCGGCTGTTGAGGCTCCTGGGGCTTCTGAAACTCCTGCCCCGCATCGATGCTCTTCTCGCAAGCGCTGAGGAACCCAGGCTCGCTGCGCGAGCGCTGTAGCGCCACATGAGGTGGAGCCACCGGCTCATAGGTTAGGAAGGTGCTTCGCTCCACCAAGCGAAGCACTTCCTCTTGCTCCTCTTCACCTTCACCACGCGGCTCAGGATCCCAAGGGCAACTCGCCGCCTCCTCTTGCTCCGTCGCATGCGGCCTGCACTCAAAGACATGTCTAAGTTAGATTGAATCGATCTCTAAGCATCCGCTCCTAGGTTCTTGCTGTCTGCTGTTTGGCAACGGCCTCCCGCCTGTGTCCCTTAGCTTCTTGAGCAGCTGGCTGCCGGGCTGCACTGTCCAGCCACTCGCTCGGAGGAGCTTCCTGCAAGCGCTGGCGAGGACCGCAACAGCTTTCGATTCCACCCATGGCTGGCGCGGCGGCTTGCAAAAACACAGATCTCACTTGCCCGATATTTTGCATACATTCCTTCTGCAAAGGGTCGCGTTGTCGTAACAGTATTGTTCCTGCCTGGAGTGTAGGGAACTTCTGCCCTGAAAACTTCGCCGTGACAAGGCGCATTTACAATCGGTTTAGCATGCTTTGCAACAGATTGACTTGTTCAAGTCGTGCATAGTCCAGCTTATCGACAGGCAGGACTCGCTGCTGTTTCCTTAGGCCACACAGCTGCAGACGTGACCGCACTCGTCGTCCTCCTGGTGCAACTTTGATCGATGACCGTGGCAAGCGCTGGAGATGCTTCTGGTAGGCAGCACAGGAGCAGCAAGTGGGGGCGGCAAGTGTAGGCGCGGGCAAGCGAGCTGAGCAGCTGAGGTGCTGGCGCGTCTTTGGCTTCCGCTTTGACAGCACCTGGGTCAGCCTCAGCCGCTCTGGAGTCGTGTTAGCCGTTAAGCTGCTTGCCGCAGGCTGGCAAAGTACCTAGAATTACCTAGACAAGCAAAGCACACATCTGGCTTCCGAAATCTTTCGTGGACCTGTCAGCCTCCTGGCTTTAAGGGCTGTTCGAGATTGGCTGGTTTTCTTGGCCCTGGGCCCTGCATCGACCCCCATGTTGTCTCTTTTCCAATGGCAGTGGAGACGAGAGGGTTGATCTCAAGAATCGAGCGTGTTCTCTCTGTCCCTTTCCTACTGATGTCACGGCAAACTGTATGTATCATTTGCATGTTACGCATTCGCTGTAGGCATGTCTGACACTGAAAGTTGCTATAGGTGCCGCTAAAGTCACAAAAAGATCTCAGGTTGTCAGCCTCCATTTTGACGCTTTGAGCCTAAACAAGCTGCCGCGCGATGCTTGAGGCGGTCCCTCAACTCTCCGAACCTCATCATCTCAGACCGTAGAGCCCAGCTAGCGTGGTCTCTTTTTGGCAAGAGGGCCCAGCACTCAGGAGGGTGACCTGGCTCAGCTGGCACAAAGCTTTCGATGACTCACTTGCAGCATCTTGCAGCACATGTGCAGGTTTTCTGTGCTGGAAGGCTAGTGGCGGCTACCGGCCTACCGCGCTAGATTCGCTTCATCCTTGACTGCCCTTCCTTATGCGCTCTACAACTCCAAAACCTCGCGAAACCCTGTGCCCGCCCCTCGATTGCGTGCTCGCGCGGAGGCGTGCGTGCGTGCGTGCGTGCGTGCGTGCGTGCGTGCGTGCGTGCGTGCGTGCGTGCGTGCGTGCGTGCGTGCGTGCGTGCGTGCGTGCGTGCGTGCGTGCGTGCGTGCGTGCGTGCGTGCGTGCGTGCGTGCGTGCGTGCGTGCGTGCGTGCGTGCGTGCGTGTGCGTGCGTGCGTGCGTGCGTGCGTGCGGTGCGTGCGTGGCGTGCGTGGTGCGTGCGTGGCGTGCGTGCGTGCGTGCCGTGCGCGTTTGCGTGCCGTGCGTGCGTGCGTGCGTGCGTGCGTGCGTGCCGTGCGTTGCGTTGCGTGCGTGCGTGCGTGGGGTGCGTGGCGTGCGTGCGTGCGTAGCGTGTTGCGTGGTGCGTGGTGCCGTGCGTGCGTGGTGGTGTGTGTGTGTGTGTGTGTGTGTGTGTGTGTGTGTGTGTGTGTGTGTGTGTGTGTGTGTGTGTGTGTGTGTGTGTGTGTGTGTGTGTGTGGGTGGGGTGCTTCATCGTGGCATCCAATCGGCCCCAAAACCCTGCAAAACACCCGCAAAACACCCTCTGCACCGAACGCCTCCGACGCCTTCGTCCTCTGGACCGGCTGCGCCTTCGGGACCGGGACCTGTGCCCCAAGCTGGACGCTTATTAAGGGCTTCAAGGTCCAAAAGTTCAATATGTTTTCGGTTCAGGGGTAGGAGTTTGGGGAGTCTCTAAAAGCAACTGATTGACTTGCTCAACTCGTGCAGAGTCCAGTTTTTCGACATGCATGACTCGCCGCTGCTTCCTCATCGTCCTTCGGCTACGCAGCTGCAGCACAGGGCAGCAAGTGAGGGCGGCAAGTGGGTTGTGGATGACATCTCGCAAGCCAAGGATGCAGGTCCTACAGGTGTATCCTCACGCGCGTAGACCTGCCCGGACTTCTTTGGGGGGACACGGTCCACCAATCACAGGATGCGCCGGTTCTCCTCAGAGCAATGCTGTGTCCAGAATGGTCTTTTGCGGCCATCCCTTGTAAGGCACCCAGTGTGCTCCATGGCGACCGCCAAATCCAGGTCAGTGCCAGAGCCGGATGCAGGCCACAGCTCACACTGACGAGACATGCTGTAAGAGCAGGAGATGAAAGATGAGAAGTGGTCATCACGCGACGCCAAGCTGATGGAGTAACTTGAAAGGCTCTGTAGAGCTCACCACTCGTCGCAACAGCCTTATCCCAAGCATGCAATTCAGGGGCACGCACCTGAGTAAACTCTTCACACTCTATACACGTGCCCCAAGGCATCCAAGTGCTGCCGCTGCAGCACATCTGCGCCACCCATTGGAGCGAGCCCACAGCTCATGGGAACGGGACCCATTTTGTCTCCCCGTTCGGTTGTCGGATCGCGTTCAGAAGTTTGAAGCGCGGGGTGCGGCGCCGCACCGCCCTCTGCTCCCAGGCCCAGGCGGGCAGCTCCCCGTAGGCCGGCGGCTCGAAAGGGCTATCCGTCGGGTGGCACGGCCCATAGGCGTGGATGTGCTCATACGACTTGCCCGGACCCAGCTGAGCCGGCTGGGGCTCCGGCTGTTGAGGCTCCTGGGGCTTCTGAAACTCCTGCCCCGCATCGATGCTCTTCTCGCAAGCGCTGAGGAACCCAGGCTCGCTGCGCGAGCGCTGTAGCGCCACATGAGGTGGAGCCACCGGCTCATAGGTTAGGAAGGTGCTTCGCTCCACCAAGCGAAGCACTTCCTCTTGCTCCTCTTCACCTTCACCACGCGGCTCAGGATCCCAAGGGCAACTCGCCGCCTCCTCTTGCTCCGTCGCATGCGGCCTGCACTCAAAGACATGTCTAAGTTAGATTGAATCGATCTCTAAGCATCCGCTCCTAGGTTCTTGCTGTCTGCTGTTTGGCAACGGCCTCCCGCCTGTGTCCCTTAGCTTCTTGAGCAGCTGGCTGCCGGGCTGCACTGTCCAGCCACTCGCTCGGAGGAGCTTCCTGCAAGCGCTGGCGAGGACCGCAACAGCTTTCGATTCCACCCATGGCTGGCGCGGCGGCTTGCAAAAACACAGATCTCACTTGCCCGATATTTTGCATACATTCCTTCTGCCCAGCCTCGCCTGGTCGTAACAGCACTGTTCCTGCCTGGAGTGTAGGGAACTTCTGCCCTGAAAACTTCGCCGTGACAAGGCGCATTTACAATCGGTTTAGCATGCTTTGCAACAGATTGACTTGTTCAAGTCGTGCATAGTCCAGCTTATCGACAGGCAGGACTCGCTGCTGTTTCCTTAGGCCACACAGCTGCAGACGTGACTGCACTCGTCGTCCTCCTGGTGCAACTTTGATCGATGACCGTTGCAAGGGCTGGAGATGCTTCTGGTAGGCAGCACAGGAGCAGCAAGTGGGGGCGGCAAGTGTAGGCGCGGGCAAGCGAGCTGAGCAGCTGAGGTGCTGGCGCGTCTTTGGCTTCCGCTTTGACAGCACCTGGGTCAGCCTCAGCCGCTCTGGAGTCGTGTTAGCCGTTAAGCTGCTTGCCGCAGGCTGGCAAAGTACCTAGAATTACCTGGACAAGCAAAGCACACATCTGGCTTCCGAAGTCTTTTCGTGGACCTGTCAGCCTCCTGGCTTTAAGGGCTGTTCGAGATTGGTTGGTTTTCTTGGCCCTGGGCTGGGCCCTTTATCGACCCCCATGTTGTCTCTTTTCCAATGGCAGTGGAGACGATAGGGTTGATCTCAAGAATCGAGCGTGTTCTGTCTCTTTCCTACAGATGTCACGGCAACTGTATGTATCTTTGCATGTTACGCATTCCCTGTAGGCATGTCTGACACTGAAAGTTGCGATAGGCAGGTCTGACACTGAAAGTTGCGATAGGTGTCGCGAAAGGTCACAAAAAAATCTCAGGTTATCAGCCTCCACTTTGACGCTTTGAGCCTAAACAAGCTGCCGAGCGATGCTTGAGGCGGCCCCTCAACTCTCCGAACCCCTCATCATCTAAGACCGTAGAGCCCAGCTAGCGTGGTCTCTTTTTGGCAAGAGGGCCCAGCACTCAGGAGGCTGACCTGGCTCAGCTGGCACAAAGCTTTCGATGACCAAGAATATCAACAGGCTTTCGATGACTCACTTGCAGCATCTTGCAGCACATGTGCAAGTTTTCTGTGCTGGAAGGCTAGCGGCGGCTACCTGCCTACTGCGCTAGATTCGCTTCATCCTTGACTGCCCTTCCTTATGCGCTCTGCAACTCCAAAACCTCGCGAAACCCTGAGCCCGCCCCTCGATTGCGTGCTCGCGCGGAGGTGTGTGTGTGGGCGGGGTGCTTCATCGTGGCATCCAATCGGCCCCAAAACCCTGCAAAACACCCGCAAAACACCCTCTGCACCGAACGCCTCCGACGCCTTCGTCCTCTGGACCGGCTGCGCCTTCGGGACCGGGACCTGTGCCCCAAGCTGGACGCTTAAGGGCTTCAAGGTCCAAAAGTTCAATATGTTTTCGGTTCAGGGGTAGGAGTTTGGGGAGTCTCTAAAAGCAACTGATTGACTTGCTCAACTCGTGCAGAGTCCAGTTTATCGACATGCATGACTCGCCGCTGCTTCCTTATCGTCCTCAGGCTACGCAGCTGCAGCACAGGGCAGCAAGTGAGAGCGGCAAGTGTCGTTGTGGATGACATCTCGCAAGCCAAGGTTGCAGGTCCTACAGGTGTATCCTCACGCGCGTAGACCTACCCGGACTTCTTTGGGGGGACACGGTCCACCAACCACAGGATGCGCCATAGCGACCGCCGAAGCCAGGTCAGTGCCAGAGCCGGATGCAGGCCACAGCTCACACTGACGAGACATGCTGTAAGAGCAGGAGATGAAAGATGAGGAGTGGTCATCACGCGACGCCGAGCTGATGGAGTAACTTGAAAGGCGCTGTAGAGCTCACCGCTCGTCGCAACAGCCTTTTCCCAAGCAACTCAGGGGCACGCACCTGAGTAAACTCTTCACACTCTATGCACGTGCCCCAAGGCATCCAAGTGCTGCCGCTGCAGCGCATCTGCGCCACCCATTGGAGCGAGCCCACAGCTCTCTCATGGGAACGGGACCCATTTTGTCTCCCCGTTCGGTTGTCGGATCGCGTTCAGAAGTTTGAAGCGCGGGGTGCGGCGCCGCACCGCCCTCCGCTCCCAGGCCCAGGCGGGCAGCTCCCCGTAGGCCGGCGGCTCGAAAGGGCTATCCGTCGGGTGGCACGGCCCATAGGCGTGGATGTGCTCATACGACTTGCCCGGACCCAGCTGAGCCGGCTGGGGCTCCGGCTGTTGAGGCTCCTGGGGCTTCTGAAACTCCTGCCCCGCATCGATGCTCTTCTCGCAAGCGCTGAGGAACCCAGGCTCGCTGCGCGAGCGCTGTAGCGCCACATGAGGTGGAGCCACCGGCTCATAGGTTAGGAAGGTGCTTCGCTCCACCAAGCGAAGCACTTCCTCTTGCTCCTCTTCACCTTCACCACGCGGCTCAGGATCCCAAGGGCAACTCGCCGCCTCCTCTTGCTCCGTCGCATGCGGCCTGCACTCAAAGACATGTCTAAGTTAGATTGAATCGATCTCTAAGCATCCGCTCCTAGGTTCTTGCTGTCTGCTGTTTGGCAACGGCCTCCCGCCTGTGTCCCTTAGCTTCTTGAGCAGCTGGCTGCCGGGCTGCACTGTCCAGCCACTCGCTCGGAGGAGCTTCCTGCAAGCGCTGGCGAGGACCGCAACAGCTTTCGATTCCACCCATGGCTGGCGCGGCGGCTTGCAAAAACACAGATCTCACTTGCCCGATATTTTGCATACATTCCTTCTGCAAAGGGTCGCGTTGTCGTAACAGTATTGTTCCTGCCTGGAGTGTAGGGAACTTCTGCCCTGAAAACTTCGCCGTGACAAGGCGCATTTACAATCGGTTTAGCATGCTTTGCAACAGATTGACTTGTTCAAGTCGTGCATAGTCCAGCTTATCGACAGGCAGGACTCGCTGCTGTTTCCTTAGGCCACACAGCTGCAGACGTGACCGCACTCGTCGTCCTCCTGGTGCAACTTTGATCGATGACCGTGGCAAGCGCTGGAGATGCTTCTGGTAGGCAGCACAGGAGCAGCAAGTGGGGGCGGCAAGTGTAGGCGCGGGCAAGCGAGCTGAGCAGCTGAGGTGCTGGCGCGTCTTTGGCTTCCGCTTTGACAGCACCTGGGTCAGCCTCAGCCGCTCTGGAGTCGTGTTAGCCGTTAAGCTGCTTGCCGCAGGCTGGCAAAGTACCTAGAATTACCTAGACAAGCAAAGCACACATCTGGCTTCCGAAATCTCTCGTGGACCTGTCAGCCTCCTGGCTTTAAGGGCTGTTCGAGATTGGTTGGTTTTCTTGGCCCTGGGCCCTGCATCGACCCCCATGTTGTCTCTTTTGCAATGGCAGTGGAGACGAGAGGGTTGATCTCAAGAATCGAGCGTGCTCTCTCTGTCCCTTTCCTACTGATGTCACGGCAAACTGTATGTATCATTTGCATGTTACGCATTCACTGTAGGCATGTCTGACACTGAAAGTTGCTATAGGTGCCGCTAAAGTCACAAAAAGATCTCAGGTTGTCAGCCTCCATTTTGACGCTTTGAGCCTAAACAAGCTGCCGCGCGATGCTTGAGGCGGCCCCTCAACTCTCCGAACCTCATCATCTCAGACCGTAGAGCCCAGCTAGCGTGGTCTCTTTTTGGCAAGAGGGCCCAGCACTCAGGAGGGTGACCTGGCTCAGCTGGCACAAAGCTTTCGATGACTCACTTGCAGCATCTTGCAGCACATGTGCAAGTTTTCTTTGCTGGAAGGCTAGTGGTGGCTACCGGCCTACCGCGCTAGATTCGCTTCATCCTTGACTGCCCTTCCTTATGCGCTCTGCAACTCCAAAACCTCGCGAAACCCTGAGCCCGCCCCTCGATTGCGTGCTCGCGCGGAGGTGTGTGTGTGGGCTGGGTGCTTCATCACGGCAGCCAATCCAATCGGCCCCGAAACCCTGCAAAACACCCGCAAAACACCCTCTGCACCGAACGCCTCCGACGCCTTCGTCCTCTGGACCGGCTGCGCCTTCGGGACCGGGACCTGTGCCCCAAGCTGGACGCTTAAGGGCTTCAAGGTCCAAAAGTTCAATATGTTTTCGGTTCAGGGGTAGGAGTTTGGGGAGTCTCTAAAAGCAAGTGATTGACTTGCTCAACTCGTGCAGAGTCCAGTTTTATCGACATGCAGGACTCGCCGCTGCTTGCTCATCGTCCTTAGGCTGCGCAGCTGCAGCACAGGGCAGCAAGTGGGGGCGGCAAGTGTCGTTGTGGATGACATCTCGCAAGCCAAGGATGCAGGTCCTACAGGTGTATCCTCACGCGCGTAGACCTACCCGGACTTCTTTGGGGGGACACGGTCCACCAACCACAGGATGCGCCGGTTCTCCTCAGAGCAATGCTGTGTCCAGAATGGTCTTTTGCGGCCATCCCTTGTAAGGCACCCAGTGTGCTCCATAGCGACCGCCAAATCCAGGTCAGTGCCAGAGCCGGATGTTGCAGGCCACAGCTCACACTGACGAGACATGCTGTAAGAGCAGGAGATGAAAGATGAGAAGTGGTCATCACGCGACACCAAGCTGATGGAGTAGCTTGAAAGGCGCTGTAGAGCTCACCACTCGTCGCAACAGCCTTTAATCCCAAGCATGCAATTCAGGGGCACGCACCTGAGTAAACTCTTCACACTCTATGCACGTGCCCCAAGGCATCCAAGTGCTGCCGCTGCAGCACATCTGCGCCACCCATTGGAGCGAGCATACAGCTCTCATGAGCTTGAAACGTGGGGTGCGGCACCGCACTGCCCTCTGCTCCCGGAATTTGGGTAAGGCGTATGAGCACATCCACGGCTACTGGCGGCCGTGCCATCCGACAGACAGCCTTTTTCCCAAGCATGCAACTCAGAGGCACGCACCTGAGTGGACTCTATACACGTGCCCCAAGGCATCCAAGTGCTGCCGCTGCAGCACATCTGCGCCACCCATTGGAGCGAGCCCACAGCTCTCTCA